GGAGAGGTAGAGGTATACTAAACATGACCAGGAGTATGTTGAAAGATAAATAAATGCCAAATAGATTTTAAGGTGAATCAATTTTGATAATAATATACCTTCTAAACAAATGTACAACCAAGAAGATAGTCAAAAAGACACCTTATGAGGCTTGAACATGACTGAAGTAAAATGTTAGTCATCTTAGATTTTTAGGATCAACGTGTTTCAGACATGTACTTGAATAATTAAGGAAAAATCTAGATGATCGAAGTCAAGCTATGGTGCTCATATGTTATCATTCGACTGATGCATACAAATTGTATTCACCAAATTATGATAAACTAATTATCAATGGGATGTTCTGGTCGGCAAAAGCAAAGGCTGGAATTGGAGTCAGGGGTCAGTTCAACATGAATAAGATACAATCGAAACTATGCTTGAAGAAGACCAACAAACTGAAGATATGACCAATCATGAAGAACCACCTGAGAAAAATGTTCAAAGATCTACTAGAACAAGATCTGAGTCAACAAGGCTAGTTGGAAATGAGATAATTCCATATCAATAAATCAATGTAGATGGTGACTTCATAGAAGAAGTGATGATGATGGTTGAATCACACCCAATTGATTTAGATCAAGCCATGAATGATTCAAATTGGTTGGAAGCCATGCAATTTGAACTCAGAGCAATCAAGAAGAAAAAGACTTGGAAGATTGTAAAAAGTTTAATCAAGAAGCCAATTGATGTGAAGTGGGTCTACAAATTGAAACTGAGACAAAATGGTGAAATTGTCAAACATAAGGTAAGAATGGTGGCAAGAGGGTTTTTACAAAACCTGGTATTGACTTCAACAAAGTCTATGCACCTGTTACAAGGCTGGAAACCATCAGAATTATTGTGTCGGTCACAATATACAAAGGATGGAAAATACATCAATTAGATGTAAAGTCAAAAATTTTTAATGTACCATTGAAATAGGAGATCTATGCTAGTCAACCACCAGGATTCAAAATCAAAAGGTAGGAACATAATGATTGAAGGTGTTCCAATCTCTTAGAGCTCAAGAAAACAAAGTATTGTGCCTTTGTCATCTTGTGAAGCTGGGTATATGGCTGCACCGTATGCATCATGTCAAGCAGTATGGATAAAGATGTTACGTGAAGAGCTAAAGATCATGAAACCTAAGAAAATGAAGTTGTTTGTCGATAAAATGTCAATTACCGACCTAAGAAATCATCCTGTGTGTCATGGTCGATGTAAGTACATAGAAAGGAAGTATCACATCCTTAGGGATAAAATAAGTAAAAGAAAGTTTGGACTTCAACATTGCAAGTATTCAATGTTGAATACATCATGTGTGTCGATGTATAAGCATGTATTCAACAGAGTCGAATACTTCAGTTTGTAAAATATATTCTGGTAATATATATATATATATATATATATATATATATATATATATATATATATATATATATATATATATATATATATATATATATATATATATCAAACAACTGCAACTTATTTCAATAAATTTTCTTTTAACAGTGTAGTTTTCTTTCTCTTATCTCCCTCTCTTCTTTTTAATTCTTCTTGAAAATCCTAATTATCCCAACAAACACAAGTCTCAAATATGTCATTGCCAACAATATCAATAAATAAAATTGAAACAAATAAGCACTAAAATGTAGCATTTAGATAAACATCACATCAAAGTTTTTATAAGTTTTGTTCTTAACATCTTATGTTATTTTCACAATAGGTTAACATACGACTGGTTTTTTCATATAAATGTTTTAAGTTCATACTTTTTAAAAACACTTTTCGTTTAAAAAATGAAAAAGGGACTAGTTTTTTCATATAAATGTTTTAAGTTCATACTTTTTAAAAACATTTTTCCTTTAAAAAATGAAAAAGGGATGAAGTTCGTAAATTAATTTTACCTCAACTATCTAACTATTAAAATAAGATGCATATTAACTACCAATAATATCCTTTATTTTAAATTTATTTACATCTTGCAAAAGATCAAAATAGTAAAAATATAATCTCTCAATTAATTCACATTACTTCAATCAAATACTACCAAGTGTTAAGTTTCTATTTAATACTTTTTCAACTTTTATTATTTTTTTTATTTCTCACTCTTTCACTCGTCATCTCATTCTTCTTTCCCTTTTCATTTTATTAATTTATCTTCTCCTAATTATTTTTAATATTAAAATTTTTAATTGTAAAATATGATTATCAATTAAATATTTATTGAGGTATGATTGTATACAATTTTGATATTTAATTTTATTTTTAAAATAAATTTAACAAATTTTATTTATTTACTTATTATTATTAAAAATATTAGTCAATGTATTTTTAAATTTTAATAAAATTAAGAATTTATTGTATGAAATTATATAATACTTAATAGCGGTACACACAGTTAACTTTTCATTTTATAGATCAATGTAAAAAATATCTATTCTATTTTAATTAATAAATTTAATTATTTAAAATACAAAATTTTTAATTTCAAATGTCAAAATTTCTTTTTTTTTCCACATATCATTATAAAAAAAATACTTATTTTATTTTAATTGACAATTATCTTTATTTGAAACACAAATTTCTTATTTTTAAATGTCAAAATTATTTTTTTCTTACGATTCACTGTCAGCAAAATATCTATTTTGTTTTAGCTAATAATTATCTTTACTTGAGGAACAAAATTCATTCTCTTTTCATTCTATTATTTTTATTTTCCTATCTAATAATTTTATCTTTTTTTAATTAGTTTTAATATTAAAATATTTAATTGTAATATATGATTATCATATCAAATATTTATTGGTGTGCGAATGTATACAATATTGACATTAAACTTTGTTTTTAAAATAAATTTAAATAAATTTATTTATTTATTTATTATTAAAAAATATTAATTAATCTATTTTTAAATTTTAATAAAATTAAGAATTTATTGTATGAAATTAGATAATACTTAATAACCATACATACAATTAACTTTTCATCTAATAGATCAGTATAAAAAAATACCTATTCTATTTGAATTGATAATTTTTATTATTTAAAATAAAAAATTCTTATATAACATGATAGAATGATATATTTTTATTCGATAACAGTATAATATGATAGAATGATATATTTTTATTTGTATCATGTATCCCACTAAATTAGATTGAAAATTTTAAATTATTTATATGATATGACAAAGTGATATATTTTTATTAGGTAACCGTATAAGATTTTTTTATACCGATATCCATTAAATTCTTAAAAGATTTACATATTTACTACTAATTAAAATATATTTTTATGAAATATAAGAACTTCAGAAAAAATATACTCATGCAAAAGAATAGTATTAGCAACCTTAGACGGGCCTTTCTAATTTCACAGGCTTTATAAGCCTATAGACCAGAGTTTGTTCATTTTCTAAATTTCAATTTCATTTTCCATTCACCATTTCTCTGACAGGTTCCAACGGAAGAACTTTCGCGCCAAAATTCAATCGATTTCTCTCTGATTTCAAGCCTCTCTTCTTCCTTCGATCTCCATTATAGTCTCTGTAAGTGCTTAATTCTTCAATCTCCTCATCTTCTCACAGATTTCTTTAACGTTACGGAAAAGAACAATCTCAGATTTCAAAAAAATTTCGAATTTTTCTTTCAAAATTTCAGAGCTACTTGTGTGATTTTGATTTCTCCTATACTTTTTCTTCTTCACTAGTGCAGATTTCATATTTGGACACGGTGATTGAATTGAAGTGTTGCGGAAACGAGAAATTAAACTAGCAAGTTGCGTTTAGGTAAATTGTCAGTGACGATCCTGATACCGCTTTTTTTTTTTTTTTTTGCATATTTATTTCCAGTAACTATGGCGTTTTGTTAGATTTTTTCTGCTGGTTATTTATGTTAAAGTTCAATGTATTTGAAGTTCTGTAATTTTGTTGTTGCTTGTCATCACCATGAACGATAATGTGTTGTCAAGTTGTTGACATGATTGTTTTTGGAATGCTTTATCTTCTTCTAGGTCAATTAAATTATGATTACTTGTGAAATATTGTTATTTATTTGGTACTACACAAATAGTACCATTGGATGAAAAGAGAGAGGATATACTTGTTTGATAAGAAAGATAGAGACAGAAATCGTGCAGGAGTGGAAAAGAGAAAACAATAAAAGATTCTTTCATGAAAGGTTTGAAAAAGCTTTGTGTAACATCAAATATTTTCCATTTTTGTGATGTTTATTGTGTAATGAGTGAAAGATTTGTTGATGATAAAAAGGTGTAGGGATATAAGTTTGGGGCAATGTAGCACCGACATCTCTGAAAAAAGCCGTGTTTGTGTCGGACACCTGCACCGACACTTGTGATTACATTTAATTTATTCATTTTTACAAATTATTATCAATGCCCCCGTATCAGTGTCGGGGTTGTGTTTGGCGTGTCTGTGCTTCATATGTTTGGGGGAGTGGCGCAGTTACAGCTCTGTAAGTTAGGAGTCTGAACTTTAAACAGTGAATTAGTTTGTTTTTCAATCTTATATGTAGTGTTTGGTGTTCAAGTTTCTAGTCTATGACAATCCCGTGTTTCACATTTTTGTTTAGATAAGGATCTAAACTTTGTGTTCAAATTTTTCTTCCTTTTAAGATTTAAAGTATTTAATCTTTATTCAATAAAAAGTGTATCATTTTATGATTTTAAGTTGATGTAACAATGTTTAAATCGGAAATTCTTACTCTATGTTGTCCTGTTGCTTGACTGATCTGTAGCATACAGTCCATATATTTTTGATTTAGGTACTTATTTGTTAGTCGGAAGCAGTTGGCTGCTTTCACAGAAGAAGTATTGTATTGATTATTATGCTAGCTCTTTTCTCCCTTTGAGAAATTCCAGTAGTTGCATTGATCTATGTAGTATCGTGATGCATGGATTTGTCTTGCAGGTATTGTCAACCCTTGGACATGTACAAGTAGTATCTGACTGCTGAAATGAGATGCAATGCATGCTGGCGAGAAGTAGAAGGGCGGGCCATTGCCACAACATGTGGTCACCTACTGTGTATCCATTTGCCAGCAATGATGTCCTTGAATTCCTTAATTTATAACTAAATAAAATCAAATAGTTCATATCAAATTAGGTAGATATTCCCTTTTGTTTTGTTATTCAAGTGGTTAGTTCACATATTTCTGGCTTCCTTAACAAAGTTAACAGGCACAGAAGATGCCAATAAGATATTAAGCAATGATGGAGCATGCCCTGTTTGTGATCAAGTTCTTTCAAAAAGGTGAGGATTATATTGCGATATGTTGCTTATATCCAGACACAAAAATCGAGATTTTGATGTTCACATGAAATACTAATTAAAAAAGTTGTCCAATTGATGGCGCACTAATCATCCGTAGCGATTTTTACATAGATTTCTTTTGGGTATTCTGTACTTTATCTAAAGTATATGCTTTCAATTTAGATCTCCGTAGGTATGATTATTTGGTGACACTATTATTCTTTCAATGTTAATTACCAATACTTGGCTGAAATGTGTTGTTTTTGTTATTGTATGAATTTGGTTTGTCCATTATAAGCTCTATGGATTGCTTGTTTTTGTCTAATTTATGTGTTTCTCTTATCAGTCTCATGAAACCTGTGGATGTAAATCCCAATGATGAATGGGTTAATGTGAGTAAGCATTCTACGTGTACAGCTAACTAAATACAGTTTAGATATTTTCTGTAATAATTTGAAGGATATCATTCCCTGTTACTGTGATGTTTTCCTTTGCAGATGGCCATGGCGGGAGTGTCTCCACAGATGTGTATCCTTTATGCCCAATGTTTAGAAGGCACTGCGCTGAAAATTTGAAATTAATTATTGAATGTTATAGCACTCTGTAGTACCTTAGGATTTGACTAACGTGAATGAAGTGCATATTCTGAAATTATAGAATTTAAGTTTACATTTGACCAATTGTTTTACTTTAAAGAAAACTTAGTAATGAAGAGTGCGCATAAAAGTGTGATGTTCTACATTGGGCAAAAAGAACTGGAGATGCAGTGTAAGATGAACAAGGTTGTTAGTCAATGGCAGCAGAAATGTGAGATGATGCAAGAAAAGGTTACAGAAAGAATAGAGCAGTTGCATACTGCTTACCAAAAGATGGCCAAGAGGTGCCAGATGATGCAACAGGAAATTGAGAGCTTAACCAAGGACAATCAAGAACTTCAGGAAAAATTTGCTGAAAAATCTAGGTCAGTGTCAATCACTTTTCCATCTTTTAAAAGCCCAAACTCTTCATCTTCTGACTAAGTTATTACCATTTCAGGCAAAAGAGAAAACTAGATGAAATGTATGACCAGCTGAGAAATGAGTTTGACTCAGTGAAACGGTCTGCCATACAACCTGCTAGCAACTTTTATTCCAGAAATGAGCGTGATTTGTTCTCTGACCCGCCTAACATATTGGAAGAAAGAGAAACTGGTCGAAAAGGTAATATTTTACCTTCAACACCCAGACTACATTTTAGCTTTAAAATGTAGTATCTATAATTTAAACAAAATAATGAGAACATGAACTTAAGCCGATAACCTCATTTTTGTTTTTAAACGTTTCCAAAATTAGATAACTTATTTGTTGCAGGTCTGCCGGTATTCACTCCTCCCACTCCAGGACCAAAGGAGGATCTATGGTCAGCCAGGCAGAATAGCAATAACTCTGGGGATGCTGGGATTGGGATCAGAAGGGCTCACCCTGTTTTTGGACCTGGAGCTACTAGCAACCCATCAATGAACTTGCGGAATCTCATACTGTCTCCAATAAAGAGGCCTCAGCTCTCACGTAAACGCAGCAACCTGTTCACGTGAGTAAAAAAACTCGAGTCTACTAAATTCATTTACTACACACTTCTTACTCTTGTATTTTGTTTCAGATTGTAGGCTCAAAGGAGGCTAATATATGCTGTCAGTTAAGCAATCTGATTTGATTCTGGCTTTGGTGTCTATGCTCTTTTTCAAATTTTTTTCACCTTTTAGTTATTGTTTACAGTGAGCAGAGAAAAAATGTTCTAAGGTTTTGCATATATGAATTTGTTGGCTGCATAATGTACTATGATATTTTAAACTTCATATCTTGAAACTCTTCTGAAGGGCTGGTAGAAGGAACAATGTATATTTCATTTCCTTGCCTTGTTCAATATGTAGATAGATAATTCCCAGCGTAGTTTATGGTGATTGGTGAAAACTCCAGTGTGTTGCTGAAAATTTTCAACTATGAAGGAGCTGTCCGATTTTGTTTCTATTGATTTATTACAAAGAATCAAATCAAACTTTTTAAATCTTGTTTTTAGCTCCTAATTTCTTGTTTCATCGAGGATCGAAATTGTTGGTTTTTTTAGAAATAAAAAATTAAATTAGGCAAATATGTTTAGCGGTGTTCATTGATTGGTTTTTCAAAATAATCAAACCTGATTTATGGTAAAAAAGACATTTATATAGATCGGATATTAAGATCTAACCATACATATATTTTCTTTTTATTTTAAAGACATTAATAAAGACTAAAACCCTTAAAAAAACTTTAATCTTTTGAACTAATGATTATTATCCGTTGCTTGACTTAGAGTTTGACCTTTGGACCTATAGACCTTGATTACTTTTCCATATGTTATTGGATTCATCTAATATTTAAGACATTTGGTTAACCTTTAAAAACATGGCTATGATACATAGCTTTGACTTTATAGCTTGAATTCATCTTTCAACTGGTGCTTGTCTTTTCTTGTGCTTACTTGTTGCTTATGGCTTACTCCAAAAGAATGAGATGTTGGTTTGGCTCTTGTAGAGTGCTGGCTAGATCCTGATTAGTACACTTGCACACACTTCCACTTTATTGTCAGTCTTAGGATAATCTCTTCATCTTCTTCCCTTCTTAAATTTTCAAAATCTTCTCCCTTTTTTAAAATCCTCTTGTTTTCAAACTTGAACCACTTTCTTAATAAACCTTGACTTTGTCAAGTGATTTTCAAAACCTTTTTCTTAAATAAATGCTAACGCATCTTAAGCATATCAAAACAATTTCAAAGTACTTAAAAAATACAAAACTATGAGGGCAAAGCCTCATATATAAGATGTGCTCGTTTCGATGATGTCAAAACTTAACTTAATAGAAGAATCGATGTTGGGCGTTATCACCATGTTGCATTTACATACCTCGTTTCTCATGATTAAATTACTTGCATAAAATATCTCGGTTGTTGCATAGAGAGTTATCAAAATATGTGTCATATGTGTTAAACTTCATTGGTGTCGTTTGTCATATCATAGATGTCATAAAAAAGAGTCAAGAGTATAAAAATTAGACATTTTTAGCAATTTCAGGTCTATGAGTCGACCAAAGTTCTGTTCCGGTCGACTCATACTGTGTGTCCAGTTTTTGTATTTTCTTAAGGTGTGCTCACGTCGACCTACTGGTCGACTCATACTGTTGGCATTTTTATTTGTCTAAAAATTCAGGCTATGCGTCGATGCATGCCTTGTTCTGGTCGACGCATGGTTGTGTGATTTGGACAATCCTTTCATCCGGGTCAGCTCAGGTCGACCCTGCACTCTGCACAAGTTGACCGCTCGCTGTTTTATGCCATTTTTCTGTTATGTCTATTACTTTTGGAAAGTGGTTTTAGTGGTTATGACAGTTATGTTTGGTATATATGTTCAGTTGCTTGTTTCACTTCTGAACATAGAGAAAAACAAGAAAAGTGAAATAGGTGTCAATTCAGTTCTCATCATCTTCATCTTCTTCATAGCATACCACAACAATCACACATAATAATATTTGTTGTGTATTATGCATTGTTAGAGGTGATAACGTTCGAAGCCGCTGATTTGGTAATCCGGTTCGGGTTGAGGAATTGAGAAGTTTTTCTTGAATAAAACCTTTAGGATTTTGTCCTCCAAGATTCTCTAAATTTTTTTTTTTTTTGGGGGGGGGGGGGGGGGGGGGTTGCACGATTCGTCCAAGACATATTCAGCCGAGTGAAGGTAATCGAGGAGCGGTGGGTTCCGTCGATTTAGTAACGGTAAATGGAGGATTGTGAAGAAGAGTTTCGGGTTCGACACGCAAGTGATTGAAATCAGTCGGGCCAGATTTTGAAGACGGAAGGTTGTTCAAAGATAGTGCCACAATCGGATGTTTATTCACAAGCTGTCGAAGGAATTGATTCGACTCGAATCAAGGGGCAAGAGGAGATAATATCTACAACAACAAGAGTGTTTGTTTGTTTGATTGTTATTCACTTCTTGTATATACATTCAACAATAAGTTAAATCTATATATTATAAGGTCTCAATTCTATTATTAGAATTGAGGGCAGACGTATCCCGAGCGAGGACGACGGGGGAACTGCCTCAACAAATCGTTGTGTCTTTTGCCTTACATTTTTTTTTCATTGCTTAATATTTGTGGTTTTAGTGCAAACAATTATATCAAATCTAGGTCTGGTTTGAGTAGTGTTAAACTGATTTTGACTCTAGTACAATCATTTGATTGTACAAGGAAACTTGAGCAACTCACTCAAAGCGGAACTCACTTGTAGTGCTCTGCACGCCAAGTGTTTGATAAATTGTCTGAACCAAAAGCCTTGTGTGCTGTCCTTTAATTGTGTTGATATTTTTAAGGCATTGGAACTAGTCACACCAAATAGTGAGTTAAATCAAATTGATAGTGTGATTAACATAGTGATTCTCATAACTCGTTATCGGATTCCATAGACTTGACGCATATCCATTTTTCTAGTAACCGTTCATTATAGACGGTATAGCCCTCGACCGCTTCCGCAAATTAAATAAATTTTAAAAACCAATTTTATTGGTAGCGCCAACTCTTTTAAACAAGCGATCTATTCAACCCCCCCCCCTTCTAGATCCGCGTCATCGTCTAACTAGTGGTATTAGGAGCACCGGTTCACTCCGTGCTTCAAGTATAACTTAGTAGAAAATGGATAACGAACCTAACGGGGCTTATAATAGAGCATCTGTTTTTAATGGAGAAAACTATAGTTACTGGAAAGACTATATGCATGTGCATATAAATTCCATTGACAAGAAGGTGTTAAATGTTATTCTAAACGGTCCAATTGAAATAACTATGACCGATGAGAATAACATGATTGTGCCTAAGCCTGAAGTACAATGGAATGATGATGACGAGAAGAAATATAATTACGATTGGAAGCCAAGAATATTCTAATCTCCTCTTTAGGAGTTGACGAATATTATAGGGTTTCTCATTGTTTAACTGCAAAGGCTATGTGGGACTCATTGCAAGTTGCCCATGAGGGAACCAATGATGTTAAGCTAGCGAGAATCAATATGTTAACGCAAGAGTTTGATCTCTTTCACATGGAGCAAGGGGAAACCATTGTGAACATGAAAAAGAGATTCACTCATCTCATCAATAGACTATACTCACTAGGTAGGCCAATTGCCAATGTTGTTGCTACTAACAAAATTTTGAGATGTCTTAACAGGGAATGACAACCAAAAGTAACCGCCATTAAAGAAGCTAACGATCTAATGATTTTGGATCTCACAACATTGTTTGGAAAGCCGCAAGAGCACGAACAAGTGCTTCTAAGCCTAGAGCAATATGAAAAGAAGGAAAATAAGGAGAAAACAAAAAATATTGAAAAGAAGTCTATCGCTCTCAAGACTTCTTGCTCAAAGTCCCAAACAAAAGAGCATAGTGATTACACCACGAGTGATGGCGAAGATGATGACAAGGGTGAGGATATGAGGCTGTTTGTAAAGTGATACAATCGCTATGTCAAAAAGAAGGGTATCCAACATTGTGAGAAAAATCTTGTCAACTTTCGGAAACAATCAAGATACTCTAGAAATGACGACAATAAAGGAAACAAGACAAAAGGGTCGTGTTATAATTGCGGAAAGACCGGACACTACAAACCGGATTGTCCCTTGAAGAAAGTGGACAAAGAGAAGGAAACAAGTAGGTCACATAAGAAGCAACCTAAGCCAAGGAGAGCGTATATCACTTGGGAAAGCGATAGCGAACCATCCGAGGATGAGAGCTCTAGTGATGAAGACGAATCTGTCAATCTTTGTATTTCCGCCCATCAAAAGAACAAAAAGAAAAAGGTACAACATTTGAAGTATGAAAATTCCTCTAAATTGTCTCATTTTGAATTGCAAACTGCTTTTAATACTTTACATTGTGAAGCAAAAGAAGCTTTTAAAAGGCTTGCCTCAAATAACCAAATCTTTGCTCACCTAGAGCAAAAGATTCGTGATTCCGAAAAGAAACTAGAGGCATTAAAAGCTTCCATAGTGGAAAGTACAAAAGTAGATTGTGAGGAAATAAGAAAGAGAGTTGTTAACTTCGGGTGTGATACTTGTTACATTTGGCAAAATGAAGTTAGAAATCTAAATGCCAAACTTAACAAGGCTCTAGAGTCCAAAATTACTTTTGCCATTGATAAAACTAATTTTAGAAAGAGTATGGTTAATCCATATCAAAAATACACATATGTTATAAAAAATCATGATATCAAAAGCAATTAAAAAGTTAACTTTTCTTGTTTGTATTGTTGCAAGAAAGGCCACACCATTGCTAAATGCCGTTTTAGGAGATTTTTGGTTCCTAAAGGGGTTTATCAATGGTTGCCTAAATGCGACCATGTTTTCACTCACAACCTAGGATCCAATAAACAGTTGGGTACCTATTCTTTCTAATTATGTTCATAGGTACAACGTCTTGAGACTACCGAGAGAAGATGGGTTCTCGATAGTGGATGCTCAATACATATGACATGAGACATATCTCCCTTCATTGACTTTGTGGCAAAGAAGAAGGGATTTGTAACCTATGGAGACAACAACCGTGGTGCAATATTTGGAAAAGGTAGCGTAGGTAATTCCTCTTC